GCTTGGGCTCTTGAGAATAGCACGAAACAATCTCAGTTTCCTCTCTACTGCTCTTGCTCTACCATCTTGCTTCCTAAAGATTCCTTGGTTACCGTTCTGTGGTTAATTATTCTATTTGGTGATTAATGACTTTTCTCTGACATATCAATGGGATTAAACCATGGTGAAATATGTTCTTCTCTCCTGTTGTTGCATAGTTCCATGGTTCCAGTTTTGTTTCTAACTGCATCTGGGTACCATGCCTTCTAATACGTGTGTGTGGTGCTGAGCTGGAGTGGGGAAAACTTATTTAGGGCCAGGTGATGAAAGTGCATCTAAGATGTTCTGAGAATAATATGGGCAGGCTGATGGGAATTTATTTGCAGTCTTTTTAGTCAGTGATTGCCATTTCCACCTGCGGTTGTACGAAGTGATACTTCAGTGCATTTACTCTGAAAAATGGTAGTTCAGTAATGTCAGACCTTTGGGGGGATGCTCGGTGTTAAGCAGATAAGAATTTGCAGGTTGAAATACAAAAGCATGTGCCTTCATTCTTCAAGCAAACTATGTCAGCACTTCAAGAGGAAGCGTGACTGCAAAGTGTATACCTGGATGTGCTAGTTTTAACTTACTAAGTAGACTTAATTTGACATAAGTCTGCTGTGCAGGAAGATGCAGGTCCCTGATGCCAGTGGCTGAGTACTGCTGAAAACTGAATTTCTTTTTTTCCCTTCCCCACTGCCCCTCTCTCACTCCCTGTCTTTTAAGTGGAGTAATTTTCAGCCTAAGCAGTTTCTGGCTCAGTTCGTGGTGCAGCAGATGAACGCTGTTCAAGCAGTTGGTGGAAGTGAGAGGTCAGGCCACCTTCCTTTGCAGCAATGGGACAGGCTGGTGCATGAATAAACTGACCATGGGACTGTGGCCCGACTAATGCTTGCACTTAACGATAGAGAAGTATTAGTAGTAATATTTGCACATGCAGATCTGCAGACGACTATATCTGTTTAGTTTGAAATCTGCTAAGCATGCACTACCCAAACACGTGCCATCCAAGCTCTGCCTCTGATTTTTATGCTAACACACCAAGTCATGCTGCGGCGGTAGTCTTGCTGCACTGGAAATACATGTGTATGAGGATGGTTTATTTGCCAGACTAAAGTAATGAATTTTGGTTAAGGTGAGAATAGTTGTGATACGGATCTGCTCAAGGGGTGTAGCTGTGTAACATGGTTCCTGCAAGCAGAGTGGTAAGACTTAAAGCAAGCACTGTGCTGACCAAAGTGTTATCAGCTGGGGTTTGCTCTTTCAATTACATGCACTTCTATTTTATTGCAGTGAGACTTATTTAAAATTTAAATAGCGTTGACATCATGTTCTTTTGACCTAATTCTCAGGCATTTGTATTGTTACTAAAATGATCTGGGGTATTATAATGCAGTGCACTGCAGAATGACAGTTTTAGGAAAGATTGATACAGCTCTGGTGTTTGAATCTGAAATGGAGCGTGGCAAATTCTGAGATAATGCTGTGATCTTCAAATACGAAAGCTTGTATATGTAACTTCCGAGTGGAAAGCCGCAGCTTGAAACAAGCCCTGATGAAAAGTAACCCCATGGAAAACCGTTATACTAGTTTGTCATGAATGTGACATCTGTGGTGGGTTTGGGTTTGTTTTGTTTTTGGTTTTATTTTAGTGCCTGCTATTTAGTAGATGCCTGCTATTTCATTAACAGAAGTTGACTTCATTCTAATTGCAGGATGAAGTTGGGTCCTTGTGAAATATTTCAAACTTTATCAGCCAAATTCAGTTAGCTACATTCTTCCTTCTGTACTGCTCACTCCCATGGCAGCCCCGTGCCAGGTGATGCACACACAGCCCAAGTCTCCCATGACTTTGTCCTTACATTGGCACCAGTGGCATTTTTTTTTTCTCACAATCTTTATAAACAGGAGTGATTTATTGTGTTTGTTTTTTCTAAATGCAAACCGACATTTGGAAAACTCCTTACCTTTAAGCCTGTTGGGTTAGTTTTACAGAAATAGAAGTTCCACTTTTCTAGAAATAATGAAAGCAGTCACAAAAAGATTCTTTTGTTTTGAGCCGATTCCAGAAGATGCAATGCCCTGCATTGACAAGCAGAGCTGTGGGTTAGGTGTGTGGCCATACCTGAAAAAAACCTGCTCAAACCCAGACACGGTGTCATAGGGTACCCTCGGCTGGAAGGGACTCACAAGGACCGCTGAGTCCAACGTGGGCTCCACACAGCACCACCCGGAATCCAAACCCAATGCCTTAGAGCGGTGTCCTAGGTCTCCCTGAGCTCCAGCAGCCACTGACCCAGGGAGCTGCTCCATGCCCACCACCCTCTGGGGCAGGGCCTTCCTGCAGTCCCCACGTTCCTCTCTCCTGACAGCCCCATGCCATTTCCTCGGGCCCATCGCTGTCACCAGAGAGCAGAGCTGCAGCTGCCTTGAAGCCTCCTCTCAGCCTCCTCTGGGCTGAGCCAGATGACCTTAGCTGCTGTTCATACATCTTGCAGGAAGCAAAGGCCAATCTCCCATTTCCCACAGCCAGCCTCCCCTGGAAGGCCGGCCCAGGCCTCAGTCCCAGAGCAGCAGGTGCTCGGGGTTCACCTCAGCCCGGGCTGGCAGGCTGCAGTGCTCGCTTCTGGAAGGCAGGCCAAGCAGGCCGATTGTATTTCATTGCCGTGCCCTGATTACCCCGCTTATACTCCATAGTCTGTTTCTCCTTCTCTTACGTACCTCAAAACACCTGTAATGACGCTTTAATTCTGCACTTGTCTGTTCCTATTTGCTTCACTCTGGTATTCGAATAGCGGTGCCGTACTGAATATGGCTTTGCTGAAAGCAGATGTCAGCTCTGTGGTGCAGTTGTGCTGGCTGACCTGTAAGACCTGCAATTTGGGGGAAACGTATCTAAAAAAACATTCTGTAGCCTAGCAGAGGGAAAAGTCGAGCAGACAAGAAGAAATTATTTCAGTCTGTTGGAAGCTTTTGCTGCCAAATATTTTTGTATGGTCTGTGTTAGCAATAAGTAAATCCATTTGGAAATTATTTTACACATAGAATTATTGTCATATTACTATTAAAAACAGCAGCTCTGTGCTTGGGCACACAAATCCCGCATGCATTCATGGATCAGCCAAGTGAAAACACGGTATTTCCCACAGGAAATCTGTCCCAGCATGCAGACTAGTAAAGCTCTATTGAGGATGCAGCTGCACATGTAGGGCTGTGTGCAGACGAACCTCCCTCTTTGCTGGAATAGCTCACACTGTAATCTTTGTAAATGGACGTTCAGAATATTAAGGCATCAAGTAATTTCTTCTGAAATGTTAGACCCAATTAGGTCTACCTTAAAAATCTGCTACCGTCTTTACATACCTAAATGTTTTGCAGGATTTTTCTGATAGCTGGGCTTGTTTAACTTCTTTAACAGCTCTTGGCTTCTGCTCAGTTATTTTCCATCAGACCTAAAGAGTCTGCATGCAGAACACAGTCAGAAATTCAACAATGTATTTCATTCTTGTTTGCATCTTGGTGTTCCACCAGGCACAGGTTTGGGTCTTTGTCATTGGATCTGAGCGTTTTATTGCTTCAGCTTCTTTGCTGCCAGATTGCATTGTGAATGCTGAGTTGGCTTATTCAGAGAGCAGGCAGAATGATGCCACACTGCTGGCTGAACAATATGGTGGTATGGTGGTTTGGTTTTGTTTGGTTGATTTTGTTTTTAGGTGAAGGTTGCAGGACAGCAATGCTTTGTTGTTTGAGTTCAGTGGCATCTTAAGAGGTGAATTTATATGATAAATTTGTAGAAAAGAAAACAGTCTCAGGTGATTTTAAGCCATCCCTGCTGCAAATGAGAACCCATTTTGTTTTATCAAGAGAGCAGGGAGATGATGATGTGTGGATTTATCATTACTATTAATTATGAAAATGATAATCATTCACAGTTTCTAAACTTTAGGGCTGTCATGTCTTCAAGGAAAAGAATTGATAGGGTTTCTTTTGTTGTTTTTTTCTTTTTCAAGTTTACTTTTATTCCTGAGGATAGGTGAAGGTATTTTATTCAGTTATCAGGTAACTTTCTTTGTGCTGAAGACAGCTGATCAAAGAGTGTTTACATTTCTTTAATTTTATTTCTCTGCAATCTGAGTGCAGTCACACAACGCCTGCCTAATTTATCTGTGTCTTATAGAAAATCAGTAGTGGGCCTTTCCCCTAACCCTGGGGATTTTGATGGTTTCAAGTAGGTAGTGAGCCTAGGAGAAGTTACCGCATGTTGTTGCAGGACTTGACAGTGGTCTCATTCTGGCTCTGCTAATGCAGAAATCACTGCCACTGCTATCGGCATCCAAGAATTCCCCTGTTTGCACATGGTTATTTCCTGTCTCGGTGAGGCTGGATTTTTTTAATGCAGCTTTCTTCTGATGTACCATTTGTTGTAGCCAGAATGATTTCTTAAAAACGAGCACACGTGATGCACAGTGGATGCTCATCTTGCTGGTTTTGGCACAACCTTTCTAAATACCAGCTGGAAGGCTTCATGGAGGTGCAGCTTACACGTGCAGTTTATGAATGTAAGGTACAGTTTATGTACTGACATTTGTAGAGTTCGGTAGTCTCCCCTGCTCACTGTCTGTACATAGGTGTGCATGGTCTGCAAGCCTGTGTGATTCAGCAGTTAGAATGGAGTAGGTGATACAGCAGAGAATTTGGCTTCATTTGAATACCATGTTGTTGTGTTGGTAGCATGTATAAATGATTCCCCGCTTTTTGTTTGCTATTAATGATGGGCTGTTGTACTGTGAGCATACAGTCATGCTCAGCAGCCTCACTACATCCTGGACTTTGCGTGTGGTTATCTGTACGTGCCATAGATGGAAGTAGAACATCTAATTACTTTATAAGATTTGTGAGCAGAGATTTGTACTCTGCTTAGCCTCTACTTGTCAAGTACTTTCTGGTGCAATCTAAAGTCTGCTTTTGCTCTTCCTCAGGTCCTTTCACAGATGTTGTCACTACGAACCTGAAACTCGGCAACCCTACAGACAAAAATGTGTGCTTCAAAGTTAAGACCACAGCACCACGTAGATACTGTGTAAGGCCTAACAGTGGAATTATTGATGCAGGAACATCAATTAATGTTTCTGGTAAGTCATACAAGCAGTTCTTTGGTAACTGAAAATGGCTTTCATCAAATGAATTATTTCTTGGAATGTTTTGCAAGACAAAATTATTGTGTGGAACGCTTGTAAAAGCAGGAGGTTACGATTTCATGGACGAGCAGCCATTTCATATATCTTTACTTCCTTTATTCCTGCTCTAGCAGTAATGGGTTTGTTTTGACGTATTGTTTCGAGGGAGGGAGGAGGAATATATCAATAATTTATATGGCTCCATAGCAGCCTTAGCCAACCTATCCAAGGCAGTGCTGCTGCAGCCCTGCCCTCCCTGTGGGATTATTTTTGTACGGTTAGCTTTTTGCCAGCTTGACTTCCTGAACCGGCTCACTGCAGGATCAAACGAGTCCTTGGACAGGCACATCGAGGGAGGAATAAAACTGGGTGGACTGCAGCCACGCCAATTTCGGCTGATAGTTGGTTGCCAGACTACCCAATATAACCAACCAGTAAAGAAAACATTTATTTTGAAACCGTGCTTGTTTTGTGTTCCTTGGAGATATAATATGCTTTGGTGCTAGAAATGTCAAGTGACTAAAACTTTGTTATTTTGTATGAAAGGTTAATGATTTTCTCTAATGAGTCAGTAGCTCTTCACTTGCCAAACTTTGGTAATGGAAAAAACAAAGGAGTGGGTTACACTGAAAGCATGAAGCACTGAGTATTTTTATAGTGTAAAAAGCTCTTTCAAAGCATTTCATAGTGGTAGACTGCAGAAATAAGCTCTGGTTTTTGAGTTACAGGAATGACTTCTGAAGATTTTTTTTTACTGTTTTAATTAAATTTTAATATTGCGTAATAGAAGCAGATGAGTTACTGGCCTATGGGAAGATGATCAAAACAGAAGTTACGTATGTCAAAACATATAACCTATCGATTAGTCTCTTACCAAGCTTTTCTGACCTGGAATAAATTATTTGTGAGCTACAAGGACAAGGGGGAATAGTTTTTGGTGTACCTGCATTTGCACGCTCACTGACCTTTTCTGTTTAGGTATTCTATTGTGTCCAATTCAGTGTGATTCTGATTGCAGAGTTGTGCCTCACTTGCACTTAATTTCTGGAGCATGTCACAGGGAGGTGGTAAGCAGTGCCACATGGTACCTATAGCAAGGGGAAGGCGGAGCAGTTCTGCTTCAGGAGAAGGCTAGCACATATGCAGTAAGCTCTGAAGTGACTAATATGCAAATGAAAAAGATCTCTAGAGAGGAATTGAAGTTTTTAAAACTGGGGAAGATTCCCAAGTAAAGCTGTCTGTCATCTATGCTAGCTACAGGCAAGCATATTAAATGCATTGGAATCAATGAAGCGATAAAGAAAATGAGCATGGTTTCTAGCTACAAATTATCTTTATACTATAAAGATGGGAATTCTTTTCATCTCTCAGATGAACTTTCAAAATTAAAAGCTCTTTTCCTTTGCTAGCAAATAGCACGCTTTTTAAAATGTCTTCTTGATCTCAACATCTTTTTTCTTAAACTTCTGCTTACAGTGACCCTTTGCTCTACCTTGAGCAGATCATAAGATAGGCAAATGCTGTGTGAACCTGTATCTTATGTGCTTTTCCAGCCCCATTCTTCTCAGCAGCATGCCAAACAGAATATGGAACCAGTCCAAGATGTGACCTGAAATATCTCATTTTGAAAGATGGCTATGCTTAACCTAAGTCGTGCTTTGCTCTTGCTCACAAAGCTTTCAAACTTTCCTTTTTTTATGTATAACTTTTATTGTAGTGATTTGTGATTTATGATTCAGTTTTACAAATTACTTTGGCTTATTTAATCACAGAGCTTACATTTTCTGTCTTACTTACTTTCATGCTCCTCTTTACTTAGTCATGGTAATAAACTGTGCTAAATTACCAGCCCTTCTATTAACGTTACATATTAAATGCAAGCAATTCACATACACTGTTCTTCATGTGGCACATTCAGGTAGATTTATAGGTAGATATATTGCAGAATTCTGGAGTAATGGATGTTAATTCTTCATTTTCTAACCCATTCTAAATAGAAGCTGCTGTCGTCTCATTTTGTGGTTGAATTTCTATTTAGTAAAGTCATATACATTGCAGTCTTGGTAGCTTCTTCAAACCATGCATGGGGCTTAATTTTGGTATCAGCATCATTGATTGTGATCAGCAGAAGGGATCTTTTGGATATTGAGAATCAAAAGGGGAGCTTTCATTAACTTACAGATCAGAGTTATTTTCATATTCTTGGAAAGGAAGGAGATGTGTTTAACCTCTCCCTTGGAGAAATACTACTTAACAGAGGTATGATTTGGGATTTAATAAACTGAAATACAATTGGAAGATTTTTCTTCAGTCACATAATTCAAGACTCAAACATGGCATTAAAACAGGGTTTGAATTATTCTAAACCTAGTAACAATACTACTCGTGATAAATGATTAGAATATGGTTCCAAACTCTTAATAGAATAACTTCCAAACTCTTAAACTAATTGGGCTGTGTTTACTCTATGTAGTCTGCTCTCTTGAGAATTGCTGACTGACTTTAACACAGCAGCACTGCATTGGCAGTGCATCTCCTGCCTGCAAAAAATAACCGGTGCCAAGGTACAACGATGTGAGGGTTTATTTGTTTCCTAGAGTATTACTGATGGTTGTGTTCGGGGCAGCCTGTGTCTTCCTTGCACCATAGCAGCTGAGTGCCTTTCTTACATTCAGTTCCACAGGAGTGTTCTATTTTGGTCGAAGTTCACGAGAAGGTATTTTGTCCTTAGAGGCTGCTATCAGAACATTATTTCATGCTAGTGTGTTGGCTCATTTCACACACACAGAACGCTAGAAAAGCAAAGCTTTCTTTATTCTACTGAAGTCTTGGATACTGGCTTCTTATGCCCTATCACAGTTGCTCCTAAATACCAGCGTTTAAGTCTCTGTCAGCACGCACTGCTTGCTGCAATGTCAGGTTTGTAGCCCATGTTTTCACCTGTTATATAATGGTGTGTAATTTTAACAGCTGAGTTTATGTAACTGTCAGGAAGTGTATGTGTGCTGTCACCATTTGATTGCGTTTGGTCATAAGCACTTGGCAAAGAAGGCTATTTGCACCCATTCTGTTTTTGTTAAATGTGTCTTATTTGAACAAAGACAGCTGATTTTGTGACTTCCTAGAGGTTGAAATCTAAATAAAAGACATGAGTGAATTCCAGAGGAAGAGCGAGAAATGAGAAGCAGGTGCTGATATCTGCAGCTAGGTGTACAATGGGAGAGATGAAGGATGCATCGCAGAGCAGCCCAAGCACACTGCTGGACATGGGGAGAACTGAAGTTATCCTTGTGTTGCCAGTCACCCTGCAGGGGGTGAGGGTTAATCTTTTGTGCGGTTACCTGACTAGAAAGAGGTGGGTTGCGTTTCCTTCAGGACAGGGCTGCCCACAGCAGTTCTGCCCCTCCTCAGCCACCAGCCATGTGCTGCCCCTGGCTGCGTGCTGCTCCCCCAGCCTCATTGGCCAACAAAGCGAGTGCTGAGCTTGGGCTTGGTCTGACCCGCTTGCTTTGCAGGAGTCTATCTTGAAGATGCAGCAATTGTTAGCAATTGTGTTATTGAAATAGCTACAGAAAGAACAGTGTAAATGAGGAACAAGCCACGTGGTGCCATAGCTTCTGCTGATGTGGGGATCAGTTGCTCGCCTCCTGTAGCGCTGATCAGAGCGTGCCCTGATCTAGATAGTCCACACTGCTGGTGGCATTTCTGTGTAAAGGTGAGATGCGTGGAAGTTTTGATCTTGCCAGACCATAGAGAATTTCATACAACATCATATAGGAAACCTGTTAATAAAGGTAGAAAAGACAGCAAGGCACTCACAGATCAAATAGGCTGCTTAAGAGTAAACAATGCTGAGGTGGATGTATGGCTTTCAAATGATAATAGAAATTGCTAGTGATGTTTGGTGTTAATCTTGTTAAATGCTTTTGTAAGCAGTTGTGGTTCAGAAAGAGCACACTAAAAACCATTACAATGATGCAGAATTCAGAGGCTGAAGAGATGCAGCAAGAGCCAAGTGTCCTTGAAGGCTTCAGTGAGAGAAACAGGATGAGTTTTGTCGTAAAAACTGCAGAGTTGTGTATTTGGATTTCTTCTATGATTGCCAGCTTTCTGAACAAAATGAGTGATGTTAGGATATTGTAACTGATCAGAGATGGCCAAGTTGCTGACATCATGTGGCTGTGAATAGGGCAAATGCAGTAAGTGAAAACAAAATAGGAAACTAGGTAATGGAAGAGATAAGAGTGTAAATGTTGTCACTAATAAAATTTCATGGTTGTATATACAGAGTAACTCATACAGAGGAATTCAAGCCAGAACAGGTGCGGAGAATGAATGGGGACCCTGACTCAGAGAGGATAACCCAAGTCAGGCTTGTTTAGTTTACCAAGAGGCCAAGAGTTACTGTGATTGATGTCTTGGAATGATACAAGTAAAGGACTCTTCCCCTTCTTTGATATTTAAGCATAAGCACAGTGTTGGTCCAAGACCAAGTGAACGGGCCATTAATAAATTTAGATGGAAGCCAGAGGAAGGCTGCTGATGACCTGAGGAGAGAGGCTTTTCCTTTCCTGCTCTTGGAAGGGAAGGTTGGATCCTGACAAGCTTTTACCACAGTTTATCTTAACATCTTCCCTGCCTCAGGTTTCCCCTGCCTTGATATTATTATTAACTTCACTATTAGCTGATCACCAACTGCTTCACTGTCTGCAGATCCTTGCATATCAGATGTGGGAGATATAATGGGAATGTGCGAGAAGACTGGTGCCTGTTTGTTTGAAACATGTCAGAACGGGATGTACGTGGGGCTGGTCCTTCACATAAATTTTGAGAGGCAGTGTGGCTTGCAGATACAACAGACATTATTCCTTATTCCATTGGTCTCTCAATGGCTTTGTGGTTTTATCTTGTGACAGAGCATCACTGTAGGGCAGTGGAGGTGAGGAGATGGGCGTTGCAGCCACTGACTGATGAATGCTGCTTCTAGTCTATTTGAAACTCCTGCTAACAAATTTCTCACACCATGTTCTCACGGCAGCTGGTCAGTAGCTTTGGACCAGCTGAGAAGATTGGAAAAGATATTTTGTAGGAACAGACCCTTTTCACGTAGTTCTCGTATAAGGTATGCAGTTTCCAGTTAAAGCAAAGGAGCTGTACTCACAGTTGTAAATTGTGTCACAACTGGGGCACTGCCATGGAACTGCTCTTTCACAGAAACTCCCAATAGTACGAGTGTGTGTTGAATGGTTTTGAATGGTTTGGTTTCCTCTTGAACAAAGGGAGTATTTTGGAGCTTCCCATCTGGCTTACAAGACGTTTGCTGAATAATTTGTGTCGATGTGGCTTTCGTGTATTGATCTAAAAATACAAGTGCTAACAACGCTGATACTGTCAAGCCCTCTCTAGCTGCTTGCTGTTATGATTCAGTGAGTGGAATTCAGAGCAGCAGTTGCTCAGTGTTCAAGAACAGCTTCAGCACTGGGGAAATAATGATTTTCAAACGAGCTTATGCTTACACTGAGCAAAGCAAGCTGATACAACTGCAGATCTGGAGAAGTTCCCTAAACAGTGGATAGCTTCAAGTACCCGTTGGCTCTTCCACATCATGCAGACTTGAAATAAACGTTAGGTGTCAGTTACTGGGGGCAAAAAGATTATTCTGCTGCTTTTCGGTGTCATGCAGTGCTGAAATACACGACACAGTTCAGTCACTTCTGTTTGGAAGAAAAGTTTTACATGGAGCCTGTTGAAATGAAAGTGTTTATTTTGGACTGGTAGTTGATTATTGTAAGGCAAGTTAAAGTGTATAATAAATTTTACTGCACATTTGAGACAATTTGCTGTCTCCTTTTTCCTGCAGCTTTAAAAGGCATGTGGTTGTTGATGGCCACAGATTGTGTGTGCAGTAAAAATGGCACAGGCAGAGAGTATCCTGCTTATTGAAGGAGACAGATTGGTTTGGCTCTTCTTCATTTGCAATAAATGGGATCTTTGGATAACACTTGTATACTTCAGATCCCTGCAATTAGTGTGTGTGAATTTCAGTGCATGTTAATAACTCTGGTACTTGAAAGTAATCCCAAGTCTTGAACTGCTTCTATTCATAGAGATTGAATTGAGGGCCTCATGGATCATGAAATGTGAATTTTTGTTGAAGTTTGTGCCAGTTTCATTTTAAATGTTTTGGAGGGGAGGATTTTTGTAATGTCTTTGCCCCCCCAAACACAGTTATTTTCTGCATTAAAAAAAGGAAAAAAAAAAACACCAACCAGAATTCCTGTGGTTTTTGGATGGAGATAAAATTTTTATACCTTTCATAAGTGATTTTTTTATAGCATTTAAGCATAACCTTTTGGCTGCAGATTGATAACAAACTTTCAGCAACTGATTTTTGAAGGAGGAATTGCACTCAAATAAACATCATGAGATATTCAAACTTTGTAGAGGAAATTTCCATCCTGAATCTTGAGCCATACTAGAGGTTTAAAGTGTTTGGCTTTTCCTGGCCCTGTAGCCTTTCTCAGCAGCCATCAGCAATGCTGTGTACAGCTAATCACAGTGCCAGCTTGTTATTCCTATCTCAAGGATGGAGAAAAAACTTGATTCTTTCATTGAGAGGTTTTCCTGCTGCCTCAGAAGATGTGTGTGTTGTCCTGTTTTGCTATAAATTGCTGTCATATTGCCATACTTGTGTACAGAATACTGTATGTGCTCAGCAGTTCCAAACTTCTCAGGCAGAAATTAGTGCAGACTGAAAAATCCTGTTTCTTTTAACTTCTTTAATATTTTTTTAAAGTAGGGCTCAGCTGCTCCTTTGTCAGAGAGATGCACTACTTGCAATCGTGTTCATGTTTGTATTTCTCATATCTTGTGACTAATCATCTGTGCATGGCTGTGCATCAGAACAGCATTAACATAATGTTCTGGGGTTTTTCTTGCAGTGATGCTACAGCCTTTTGACTATGACCCGAATGAGAAAAGTAAACACAAGTTTATGGTTCAGTCTATGTTTGCTCCAGTTGATACTTCAGATATGGAAGCAGTAGTAAGTATTGAAAGTAAATAAAATGGATTTATTTCTGTTTCTGTAGTTTTTAAGACCTTCTATATCACTTCTTCAGGGCTCTTTTGAAACCAGACTGTAATGTTCCTTGAGAGCATTAGCAGATTGCCATTGCAACTGTGGTTACTTCTTTAGAGGACTGCCAGTGGTAATGGCATACCGAGCTATGAAACGTGTTAAGTTGTAATTTTTTTATATATATGATTTTTATTTTTTTTAAAGGCAGACTTGAACAATATGTTCTAATTATATGGTCTGTGGTATCTTTTATATTGCACACCTTTGTACTCTGTCTTGACTCTTCCCTTGAGCAGCTCCTTTGCCCAGTGGGAACCAGGAAGGTGGCTTACAAGTATTGAATTTTTCTTTATCCCTTTTGTAGTTGCTTAAATAAATAAGCTGCCTATATAGATCTTGTATGGTGGATTACAAGTGAGTAACAGAAGCGTATGGTTTTGCTACTACTATAGAAGAGCAAAAAGAAGCTTACTCTGGTCCAGCTTTTGTTAGTTTGAGAGAATATTTAATAACTGTCGAGGACACAATAAATAAGAAAAAACATCCATTACTCTGTAATATCCGGGGCTGCATGTATCTTTGAATGTATGAATATTACTTTATTTAAAACAAAACAACAACTAAAACAGCCACAGAATATGCAGCATGTTTTTTTGGTGTTTTTTGTAAAACTATGGGTTTTTTTTCAGTACAGTTTTTTTTCAGTTCTGTACACGTCTGCTGAACAGCTCTTCAGAGCTGAGGCCTTTTGGTAGAGTTGAGAATTTCCCTTTTTGAAAGAGATTTGTGGAACTGTGTTTGTTTAATGGCCTTAAAATAAGATTGAGTGAGAGAAACAGCAATAGCAATGAAATGGCTGCATCATTAGGTGAATAAGCCAGTCTGCATCTCTTTCTAACTCTTTAATTTTATGAGTTACTTTATACCATATAAAATATTATTCTGCTAGCAAAGAATGTTTTTAAGGATCTAGATGTTCTTTTCAGTTTCCCGGAGCTCTCCAGCCCAATCCCATTTCTTTTCCTGTAACACTCGATCACTTCTCAGTTTTGTTACCACTCTCCAAATATCTTCCTATTCTGGATAAACAGGTGAGACAAATTACTGGGCTACTATAAAGCTTTCAACGCTTCTCGGGCGGCCAACAAGCTTAAAATAGAACTCTGACTTCAGCCACAGAGAAGAGCTGAAGTACGATTCGGCTGTTTAGGATGAGTCAAGTTCTTCTTCAGGTTGCACAGGGGTTAGCCACAATTTGACACCTACTTGAGATATGCTGAGCGATATTGTGCTACCAGAAGTGTGGTCAAAGTGAGGAAAAGCCATGTGAACTCCCTTTTCTCTCGTAACTTACCTGAGTTTCAGACTATTAAGAGTGATAGCATCTGGTCTTCTAAGCTACTACTCAGCTGTGCATTTGGTTTTCATTTTTGGTTCTGTAGATGTTTAATGGTAATGTGATAAATGCTTGTGGAGTTTTTCCTAAGATGGTATGATTTGTTTCTATAATACAGTACCTTTTCAATTTGTTTACTATTCTGTTTAATATTAAATTATTCCAGTGGAAAGAGGCAAAGCCGGAGGAGCTCATGGACTCGAAACTTAGGTGTGTGTTTGAGCTACCGACGGAAAATGATAAGCCTGTGAGTATTTTTAGCTGCGTATCGAGTGACTTTAATGCCTCAGTAAATCATGTAAAATGGCACGTGTGTCCAGGCAGCCATGTGGGCAACAGGCAGAGCGCCCTGTTTTGCTGCCTACATCTCATCCTTCTTTTAAAACATAAAACCATTTTAAATCTTAGTGGTGCTTAACCTTGCTAGCAGCTAATTTGAACCGCCTGAGTGCATCGCAAGCACAAGGAAATCTTTGAGTTGACCTTTCTTCATTGAGTGAATGATCACATAGGATAAAAATGTTATTTAAAAAAAAAGAGGAAAGCACTGATTGATATTAATAAAGCTGAGAGCTTTCCTGTTGAGAGATGTGATGAGGAAAGAAATCTGAATTAAGTGGAAATTAGCAGCTGTTCTGTTTAGGGGTAACTTTTTCTATAGTCTGTAAAAAATTATCAGGAGAAAACAAAGCAGGAATAGTAACAAGTTCCTGATACCTTATAAACAGGAGCTTCATTTTAAGAGATTGGTAGAAACTGGGGATAGAGCATTTTGTTTTCGTTAGAGCCCAGGCCCTTTGCAAAACAGAGGATTTGCAAATCCAGAGAGAGGATTGGCAAAGCCAAGAGAAGGAGTGGGTTTTGGAGCTCTGCAGCTTTTGTTTCCTGACTTGGGCTGGAAGTTCCTCTGTCACCACAGAAAAACAGAAGGATGAGATGTGATAGCCAGCAGTGGGGGGAAGAGTGGGAAGAGTGAGAGAACTGCAGCAGAGCAGCTGGGTGGTTCCTGACAGCTTGCTGCTGCTTGGAGCAGCTGCTTGTGTTGTGCTTGGAGAGGAGAAGGTGCAGAGAGCACCACGACTCCAAGCAGAATGTCAGCAGATAAGTCACATTTCCATTTTTGTGGGACATGGTCTGATGGTATTTCCTTTCACATACATGCAAGGACCGAAAAACCTTGCATGTCCTTCTGTCTGCACTTTGCTGCTGATCTGGTGTTCAGGTCAGAAAGGGGAAATAAAGGTTGAAGAAGGGAAAATGTTGCTTTTTTTTTTTATACAGGCCCATTTTGAGTACTGATAGGAGATTTTACTTGATTCTCCTCCTCAGTATCAGATGTGGTGTTAACAACTAACCAGAATCACTCTATCTTTTCTTAACAGCATGACATAGAAATAAATAAAATTGTATCCACAACTGCAACAAAGACAGATTCCTCTGTAATGTCTAAATCAATAAGTTCTTCCTTGGATGACACTGAAGTTAAGAAAGTAATGGAAGAATATAAGAGGCTTCAAGTAGAAGTTCAGAGGTTACGGGAGGAGAATAAACAGTTTAAGGTAAAGATTCTTTCTTTTCCAGGTTAGCTTCTCTCCTGACATAAAAGATTCAGACTGAAAATTTTGGTTGTTTATCCTTGGCACGATATTTCATTGTTGTCAATCAGCAAAAAGATGGTTTATGTTTCTCTTTATAAAGCCAGAAAAAAAGTGTGGAAATCGATGGTTCTCTGAAAGGAACACACAACTCATGCAGCTGGAGAAGCTGATGGGATAGCAACCCAAAGGAATGAATCCCACTCGTTTTTATTTCTTTTTCCCCCACCTAATTTCCTGAGTTTGGATTAAGCATTCACTGTTGGATTTGGCCCTGTGCTCTCTGACTGACGGGAGTTTGAGGGCAGCATTGTGCCAATGCTACGTGTTAGTCATGACTCCTGTAGCACATAGTTGACATGACTGAAGTAACACAAGAAATACACTTCTGGTCATACCCAGCACATCACTGTGAAACCAAACAGATGAGAAACCATGATCACCAAGCTGAAGACCTGTTTTGGTTTCATTTATTATCGATATCTTGTTTCAGAGGTATCAGCACTGGTGGAAAATGTGGAATTTGTTAATGCTTGGCCCCAGTGAAAGGAACTCTGTTCTGTCAGCTCTGATGTTGTGTGGCTGGCTGATGAATGAAGAAATTTTTTAAAAATTTGTGTTTTGCTCACAGAAGTAACAGCAGAGACACAGGCTTAACTTCTTTTGTCCTGGCTCTTCTTGTGTCTCCCAGTACAATAAATGCTCTATGAGTGTGTTTTATTTAGATTTTTTTTCAAGTCGGTTGTCCTGGTTTCAGCTGGGACAGAATAAAGGTGCTGTACAGGAAACAGCTAGAATTGAGCAGACATCTTACAGTAACATCACAAAGCTGTCAGCTGCTTGTTCCCTTTTGTGAAGTGTTAGAAACATCTGTAAAATTTTGGAAAACTGTGTTAAGTTACTGCCAGCCACCAGGTTCTGTCAGTGCCAGACGAGATAAAGGAAGTGAAATATTTAAGTGAAAAGTTTGTTTTCTAGCAGTAATTATTTGCAGTAATTATTGTTTACAGAAGTCAGTTATACCCCATCCAGATTTATAGCAGCAGTGAGATATCAGGCAGTCTGTGACTTTTAATGTGTTCCTGAAGAAAATGAGTTGCCTCTTTGAATTTAGAAGTGGAAAAACACTGACTGGCTGCTTTGAGTTTCTCATCTGTCAGATTTTAAGGCTGCAGTAACTTTTATTACAGTTTCATTTTATGAGTATTTTTTAATGTATATACTGGTGGCTTTTGCTTCAACATCTTACACTTTTCAGCTCCTTTTTTTTATTCAGTAGAAGTAATGAATCTGTCTTCCTGTAGGAAGAAGATGGACTTCGGATGAGAAAGGCACCTCAGACGAACAACCCAATATCTGCTTCTGCAGCTGTTGTCAAGGATGAAGGGCACAGCTCCAGACTACTTGCTTTGGTGGTTTTGTTCTTTGTCATTGGTGTAATTATAGGAAAAATAGCCTTGTAGAGGCAGCATGCTGGAAATTGTAAATTGGTTTGATGGTTCTGCCATATCATTGGATTAAATTTATTCATAACAGTGTTTAAAAAAAAAAAATTAATGTATGACATCTCACAGGTCTTGCCTTTAAATTACCCCTGCACAAATACTATGTAACATAATCTAGAAAGTTTAAAATGTACAATGAGGGAATGAATGAAAGAATATTCTTCAGTGATGAAGGGGGAAGAAAATCATGATTTAACACTACAATGGAATATTGTATATGTCATTTTAAACATTCTTAGTCCCTGGTACATGTTGCTGGATGACCTCTTTTTAAAAAAAAAAAGGAAAAAAAAAAAGGAAAAATAGAAAAAAAAAAGATTCCTCCACTGCTGGAGCTGGCCCTATTGGATGTTTGGAGCTGGGTTAGGCAGGAGGTGTTGATAACTTCTGTAAAATATGTTAATCCACCATTCTGCTCATAAATTTAACAGTTTTTCTGTCAGTGTCTTCAACTCTGTGAAGTTACCAATTTCTTGACACTTAAATGAATAGTGAGAAGCTGGAAAGAGTTGTATGTGGCAACGCTGAATGTGCTAGGCATCATTAAGAGGCGTATATTGACTGGTATGACGCTAGTTTGGAGTAAAAGTCAATGCCTTGTTCTTATGGAGGGACCAAGCTACATTGCTATTGGTTCATTTAGTTGAATTAAAATGTTATTCAGAGATGTTTAATGCATATTTAACTTATTTAATGTATTTCATCTCATGTTTCCTTCCTGTCACAAAATTGACTAATGCTTTATGGTATGAAAAGGCACCTGTTCTAAAGCCAGTGACTAGAACTAAAAATCTGCTGCTGTAGTGATGCAAGATTCTTCTGCCTCCTGTAGTTTTGGGCACTACACAATTGTTGGGAGTTTTGATCATCTGAGCATTGGGGAAACAGTGGTCAGGAAACTGTTTTTGTATGTAAATAAGTCTATCTAGGGGAAAAAATATTAGTAGTAAACTAGTCCTATGCCGTAAAAAGACCAATCCTGTTTGATGATGTAGCATCTAAAAAAAGAAAAAAAAAAAAAAAAGAAGAAAAAAGAGATTAAATAAAGCCCCCAAATTAATGTTTCTTTTGTTACTGTTGTCATGCTCTGATAGTTTTGGCGGGGAGGGAACAGCATTATCTGTCAACTTAGCTTGTTTATAGCATAAGGAAACCAGTAGCCATGTTTCAGAAAGACTTTTCCCTGCCTCATTCTAAAATCCATGTGAGCAGCCCCACTCTGAGCATCCTTTACTGGTGTGCTGTGTGTGTTGTCCACAGGAACCGTGCTGACTGCTGAGGTGCTGCATAACTTCACATTTCTCAGTTTAGTTGGATTCATTGGTTAAGATGCTTACTAACATATCGAACGTGAAGCAAAGGTAATTTTGTTTCTTTTCTTATAAAACTCAAACTCTTTGTGCTTTAACGTGTTGGGCCTCAGTAGATGAACTAGCTTCTGAGCAAGTGAACCCTTGTATACTCTTAGATCCCATGCCCAGAAACCATTGCTGACAAAGTTTTTGTAACACCATTCAAGGTTAAGAAACATCTTTAAAATGTGGCTTCTTCCATTCCTTTTTTGCTCCTGAGATTCCTTGAGAAGGGTGTTTGGGCAGCCGCTGTCCGCTGTGCTCTTCTCCATCATTGCCTTTGGTATTTGTTCCATTTTTTCTCAGGTGCAAAAAAGTGAAACTTCCTGTGAGATTTAATAAGAAAATGGCTTTGGGGGGATGAAAAACTGTTTGGTGTGTGCCCCTTAGGAGCACAGCTCTGGAAGTAGCAACAGAAATGAGAGGTTTGTTACTTTAAAATGTTACTGCCTTCTTGTCTGCTTAGGATGGAAGGAAAAAGAGCTAAAGTGTGGCTGCAGCAGTGTGCCAGGAGAAGAAAGCAGTGTGACAGACTGGGCTGAGGGATGAGACAGAGGTACAGATGAGTGCAAACGTCTACAGAAGCAGTTGAGAGGGCCTTATCACAAACACGAGGTTGTAAATAATGAAAAAAAGATAATTGTTGGCTTTAAAGAATGTATTTGAGAAACTTCTTCACTGAAGGGAGGCTGAGTTACCCGGTATCTTTTAAGAGGCTGTGTATGCTGTGAGTTTACTAAAAATGTTACTGGAAGAACTGAAATCCTAATTTGCTTCACAATATATAGCATTAGCTTTGAGAGTCCTGAAAAACAGCCTCAAAAAGTATTTTAAAAAAAAAAAAAAAAAGCAACCTTTTCAGGGCAGAGAATCAAAGCTTTACGCTGATCGTCTCTTGTGAGTGTGTCTGTAAGAGCACTCCAGGCAGCTGTTCCATGCTGTTGGCAACCACTGCTGGTGCAGCAGCTTCCAAATGAAGCAGAAAGTCACAGAACCACAGAACGTCCATCCTCCTTGCGGTGTTCCATACCCACGCTGATGGTTTGGAACTTCCAGTCATTGTGAGCAAGTTTGTCTTTGTGGTTTGCACTCAGGTTTATAAAGAAGTCCCACAAAGAAGAGTTCTGTATGCTGCTCGATGCCTTACAAAGGCGAGGTGAGATGTGCAGGACTGAGCAAGCTGAGGATGTACCCAGAACAACTCAGTCTGCAGGAGGGGCAGAGCCACACCTCCAGCCCTAAACAGGACTCTTAAATTAACTTTGTATCTTTGGCAGCTTTAACAAGTAATAATCGAGGTCTTTCCTAACAGTTTTTGATGATAGCCTAGACAGTAGCTTTGCTTTTGCTGGACTTAAAATGACTGCTCAGTAGAATCTTTGTTACCTGCCCTTTAGCCAGACCTTTCTTTCATATGCAACAGAAAGAACAATGAAGGTATTTTTTTCTTGCAGAGTTCCTAAAGGCCAGTCTGTGGAGATACTGCAAAAATAATCCAGCTTTTATAAACCGTCCTTTAGATGCTGCTGCTAGGAGAGCTTTTGTTTGGTATTCACAGGAGGTGGATATTCTGGAGGGCATTGTGTATCTTAGGAAGTTAGGTATGAAGTGTAGAGCTCATGGATAACACTATCATCTGGTGTCCTTCCACAGCACCAGCTGCTAGGAAACTGTAGTTGATACACAGTAGTAGAAAACAAGTTATTCTTTACTCATTGTCCTTACTGCTCTTTTAAGATACATTTACTGTTAGTTTTTCTAAGAGCCAGCAGAGGCTGCTTTGGTAGTGCTCTCCCTGTGGAGCTCTGGCACTGCTGTCGGTGCAATTTGGGCGCCTCTGCAAACAGTTCTAAAACATCTAAGAGCTGAAGTTTGCTGAGAAGTGAATGAGAAAACGATCTCTGCTCTTTTCACGTGGCTGTTCCCATCTTACAGCACCGTTCTGTGTGTGAGTGATGGTGTCACTGTGCACTGCAGCTGTGGAGTGTGAATGCACATGAACAGCAGTTGTGTGTGCAGGCCAGGCACCCAGTTCTGGTTCTTGTCAAGTATGTGTAGGGCCCAAAAAGTTAAGTTAATACTACGTATGTAATGCTGAGAGGGATTGATGTATCATAATGTAATTTTCTAAAAGTATAGGATTGTAAAAGCTTGGTGATGGTATTCCATGTTACTTTTTTTCTGCTGAAATGCTGTTAGTGGGATAAAGCTGGAAATTCACTTTACAAATTGCTAGACTTTCTTCTCACCAATAAACCATAAAGGGTTTCTAGTTGCTGCACTTGTGACCTTGCAATTCTTGTTATGACCTAGTCTTAGCAGTCAGTATATTTACATGGTGATGTGGTACAAAAGGGATCTTTAATGCCTTACGGTGTTTGACATTGCACTCACCAAATACAAGAAGCTCTCTCTGTGTCATCCCTCTTAAAAAAAAAAAAAAAAAAAAAAGTGTTATTTTCATCATTTAATTGGAACACCTCCTTCATTCATGGGTGCAGTAGTGACCTGTGGAATTCTGAGGTCTTCATGCTGTCCTTACTTTGCTTTACCTTATGTCCCATCGTGTCATATCTCACATTCTGTTTTCTATCTAAAGCAACTGAGGAAAATCACAACCAGACAGCCCTCTGTTTGGAATGGATGAGCACATAGGACCTCTGGACCTCGTGTGTGCTGTGCAGCAGTACCATGAGCAGCATGAAGCAGCTCAGAGTTGCTTTTCAGTTCTGTTTGCAAATGGGTCAGCACCCATTACTCAGATCCTCAAGTGAGCAGGTTGAAAAACGACAGGTGGTGAGTTGCAGTGTGCACATCTCTGTTTTTAGGGTTTTTTTGTGTGTTGTTATTATTCAGAAACAAGTACGAAAAAAGAAGGTGACTGTGTAGGACTGGGATTAGTTACATGCCATACCTGGATGTTACTCTTCTTTGTAACTGGATGCATTTCTACAAGTCTGATTTACTGTTGAGGAGATACATAAATCAGTGTGTGGGCATTTCAGAAAGAAAAGCAACTACTGAGTGAGGCTGCCTGCTCCTGCAGGCTGAAATCTGGCTCTTCTGCAGGTTCGCTCCATTAAGAGCTGACAATGGGCTGCAGTGCTGCTGTAAGCCATCAGAGGCAGTTAGACAAACAGAGGGGTTTGTTGTTCAAGCAGGGCAGTGCAGATCCTTTGCCCACATCCACCAGCAATTTCTATGTTACCCCAACTGCCTCATGTGCTCTGAATCACTTTGCTGAAGGGACACAGCATTGTACTGCTGCCTCTTGTTTGGATGAGCTTCCGAGGACAAAGTAGTTGTGTTTCTGCTACTCAAACCTGCTTAACTGTAAAATTTGTTTTATCAGTTGATTGATTTTTAGTTTATTTTTTTTTACTGGATAAATGTAGGCTTTTCTTTGAAACAACACAAGTGAGAGCTGTTCAGAAGTCTCTTCCATGAAACATTCTGATACGCATTTTTACTTCAATATACCTACCATTGGCTCTGCTGTTCCCATGGCTTCATTTCCTTTTACAGAACTGCTTTCACGTTTTTACTTTGAAGAGTACAAGTTTGAGAAGTGTCCTAAACTCCCATGGAGATATTTTCCCCCTAAGTCCAGGCCCAGGTTTGTCCTGAAGCATCTGCATGAATCTCTCAAGTCTGTGAGTAAAGAAACAAGGCTACGTTTCCCTGAAGCAGATTTTGAACTTTGAATCTTTCTCCTATAATTTGTCGTTGGAGAAAGGCCTTTTCCAGATGGCAAAGCAAAAGAAGATAAGAAAACAAATGAATTAAGGAATTAATTGAACCTGCATATTACGAGTTGACATTATACATCTGGCTTTTCTGTTTATATTTCTCCATTGGTACGCTTCATTCTCATTTAATAAGTTCCTAATTCTGTGACTTTTTTTCAAGCTTTTGAAGTGCCTATGAAGAGCTGAGGAGCAGCCTGCAGGGAAGTGCTGTCCCCAGTTTTGCCATATTTTCTTTTTTTTAATCAATTTTTTTTCTTCGGTGGAGAAACTCGCAAGACCAGAAGAGCCTTCTGAACTCCCTCATGTTTGGGTTGGCACAACTCCCACGTGTAATTATCCATACACAGCTACTTTTAGAAGGACTTTATTAAGGCCATACAAAGTCAGGAGCTGGGAGATGACAGAGCTGAGCTGCGGGTTTGGCTGCTTGGAGGGGGTGGGAGGTGGCTCTGATGCCCATTGCAGCACTGGGCTGCGGCTGATCAGAGGGTGTTCAGCAACAGCACTGCATCACCTTAAGTCTTCTTAAGATCTATATAATTTGGTTTTTGAAAGGTCACTGGAATCAATGTGGCACAACACGGAACCCACCTGTACATCAGGGCTGACTCTGCTGTGAGGCTGCAGGTGGAGCAGCAGCTGCTGTGTGTTTCACTGCCATGCTGATAGTTTGCTCCTGGTGTCTGGGTGCAGTCAGCCATCTCCTTTCTGTCCTCTGCTGCCTCAGTGCAGTGTGGTCATAGTCAGTATGAAGCTTTTAGATTCAGTGTGGATTGGTTATCAGATGAAGCACTAACTCAGTGCTAATGATTTGCCCAGAAGTGTTTTAAAACTTTGTGTGTTGTTTTGGGGGGCAAATTAGAAAACATTGTGAAGCATTTTAAACACGGGATGAGGATGGATCACTGGAAAAAGTTTGTTCCTGCTAATGGAACTGTTGAACAGATCCAACCCAAGGCTGAGTTGGCAGCTGTACACCAGTGTGCTGCTCCAGGAGCAGAGCATCACAGAGGCCATGCATCTGAGTAATGGTGGGGCTGGATGTGTGAGACTGATGCTCACATGCACAGCAGGAAGCTACTAAGCGTATGCAGAATGCTTGAAATGTGCTTTTTTTTTTTCTTCTGTTTTTGGAGGTAGTACTTTTCATCATTTTAACTATATTAGAAGTTCAGAGGAAGGCTTTGAGACACGTGTGGCTGTATCACTGACTTCCAGCTGGTACAAACAGCCCTCAGCTTGCTTTTTCTTCACAGCTACAGCAAGAAGGCACGTGTGTACTTCAGAGTCGAACAGAGTTCAGAAGGCAGATCTGATGCTTGTTACGTCCTCGATTTTAATACAGTGTTAGGCATGAAGGTATTTGCTTTTGTTGTGGTTGTGCTGGCTGAGAAAGGAATCAGAGCACCAGGAGTTGGTGCTCCCTGGGGGATCCCCCCTGCATTCAGGTGTAGGCCTGCAAGCTGCCAGGGAACCTGTGTGGTGCTTCCAAAGGGCACAGCTCAGCAAATTAGCATTAAATCTGCTGGTGAAGAAGAAATTAGATGGCAAGCAGAATTAGAACTGGCAGTTTTCTATAAGAAAGGTAGGAAATGGCCCAACCTCAACAGTTTGGCAATTAAGGAAGAGAACAACTTTGGCAAAAAGCCCATCCTATTTCAGTGATGAATGAGGGGGAAAATAGATGTAATATAAAACAAGAAAAAGGGAAACTGACAGCAGTCAACACTAAGGATAAGAGTTATGAAGTGTAGAAAATTAATAAGGAAAGCAATAGCCAAAGGAAAAGAAAAATGTATGGGCTTTAGTGCTTGGGGGGGTTGAGGGGGGTGAAGAGCTGAGGTACCGAGGAAATCTTGGCAGGAGATAAGGGTTGTTTCTGGATGCAGGTGGTGAAACTGCTAGTGACGAGCTAGGAGAACTGGAGAGCTGATGTCATTCATTAGTGGTGCTTAACATTCAAAGTTAGCATCTTTAAATTCAGTCTATAAAACTTCTGTCAGTACTTCTAAGGGAGATGTCTGAGGCCATCTCTGCTGATGAGGGTGGCATGCAATATGGGGTGAGCAGGTATGTGCTTGCTTAGCTGGTCAGCCCTGGGAAAGGGATGAAAAAGGAGATGAACACTAATGGAGGAGCATCGTGTAAGTCACTTATTTCATCCTGTCTTTATTTCTCTTTTTTCTTTGGGATTAATGTGGGTTGAGTGTAGCCGGACTCCCAGCAAAGCCTGGTGTTCTGTGAAAATCACACGTTTCAGAAGTGGTCCTTGCAAGGCAACCGCAGGGAAATGGGGATGCTCACAGAAGGCTTCTGCAGGGATCTGATACAATTCAGTGCTTCCAAATCACTGGTGAAAATATACATAAAATCACTACTGAGAAAACAGTAACGTGATGAACATCTCCATGCCCAGAGTCAGAGAATGAGAGCTCCACCTGTGCTCCCAGTGCAGTCCCAGGGTGAAAAACTGACAAAGGTCGTGTTGTTTTGAATTATCCCTGGCAGTGATTGTACTTCTGTATGTCTCAGCTATGAGATGGGAATTTTTGATGCAATTTGGATATTTGCATGTTGAGAGAGAAGCTGGATAATTGGGATAGATGCAAAAAGAGATTCAAAACTTAGCAAAATTACTAGCAGAGTGTGAAAGGCCATAGAGCGAGAGAGAAAACTGGTTGGCTGAGTTTATCTGAAAATGTCTTGATGACAGTGCACGACTACCTTCACGCACAGAAAATACCAAACAGCACTCTCTCTTTGATCTTAGCAAAATGAGCAAAACAAGACTCACTGTCAGATTGGAAAAAAGGCACAAATTCTTGAGAGAATAACTGTATAATTTAGAAATGTTTCTCCCCAAACTGTGAAAAGAACAATAAAAGTTGCAATATTTATGCAGATAGCATTTCCATGGCTTTTTTTCCTTTCCGAAGTATGAAGCGCTGTGCAGGGCTGTGCTCACTGCTGCAGAGCTGAGCAGTGCTGAGCACCACGGCTGCTGCGGGGGAGCTGGGTTCTTTCTCCAGTTTTGAGTATCATAAACTCCTACGTTGCATTAATTGGTGATGGCAAACAGCTCTGCTATGGAAAAAATTTCATGCAGCTTCAATAAGAGGCAGTGCTGCTATGCTTCAATCATACATTGCACCTTCCCAGGGTGTCCCAAGTTGACAAAAGCCCTGTTCCTCATGGTGGGACTTCAGTTCTTCAAATGTTTGCCCACACATCTCCATGCAGCAGCAAGCAACAAAGCACAACAAGCTTTGGCAACGAATGGAGGCATTGTGCCTGCTGAGCTAAACCCTGGAGCAGTCTCCATGGATCGCAGATGGAACTGAAGGCAGACGAGCCGAGTTTGGCCACTGTGCACATCAGAGATGTGGCTGCTTACGTGGGCCTGGAACATGTGAACATGCTGACAACATTTATGTCACAATGGTATGCATTTAATAAGCATCTCATCTGAATTATTAATGTACAGTTCCCCCCAAAAAGTACTTTGATGCTATAAAACCCATAAATTATTTAAGTAAAAGCTGCAAGTTTGTAAAAACAGCATTAAGAAAGTAGCTGTTGCATAGATGGTTTAACAAAAATATCCTTTGTAAGATATATAGGCTTATTTGGAGGGGATTTAGCTACTGGGAAGAGGTCTTCCCCAGGTGAGTTATATGCTTCTTGGCTGCAGCAAAGGAGATGTAATTTCTTACTTTTTCCTTCTTGCCAGCAGAGCTCTGGACAGTCTGACAGTGCTGCTCAGAGTCGTCTCCTCAGCGCATTGTTCACTGCAGGTAGATTTATAAACCATCTTCAAGTGAACGGGGCTGGCAGTGACAGTCCAACTGATACGACAGCTGGATTAACAGCCAGTGCACTTAGGAGACAGTGAAAATATACAGCCTGAGAAGACCTGAGTGATCTTCTGCATTGCACACTGCCTGTGAGTGGGAGCTGCGATTGGCAGTGCCAAAATAGTGCAGCAAGGATGCAGTGTCTGCAGCTACAGAATGCTGGGAGTTGGCACTGCTATGCACAGGAGCCCTTTCTATTTGCTGTAGCTTTTCTTATGACCAGAGTCAGGCAGAGCAGTCTGTCAGGTGATGCTCTGGGGTTGCTGCTCTGCATCTGCACATGTAAGTACATGTGAAAACTGCAGAAAACATCTATAAACTGAGAGGCATCATTAGGTGTGTCCTTAGTGAGAGCATTTGCTGACACTGTATCTGGTGCTGATGGACGCTGCAGATCAAATTTGCACAAGCAGCAATAAGGACTATGGCGGAGGGAGCTTAACCTCAAAAAAACTCAGCAGCTGACACTCTGGATGTTTGAATTACATCTGAACTAAGCCCTTGATTAAATCTCAGCAGTGCCAAAAGCTCAAAGCATCAGTTGCAATTGATGTTGCTCTTTTTCCCCTCATATTGCTGAAGTACTTACTGCAATGTGCAGTGCATCCATGTCACTACATTACATTGGTATGCAAAGACAAGGGGAGATGAGGCAACAAAGCCATCAGGCAGTACGTGATCAGGCACATCTTCTTGGCTTCATTCACTGTTCTTTGTTTTTTTGCCTTCTTTTTTTTCTTTTAAAGCGTTTCCAAGTCTAAGTAAAACTGGTTCCAGATGTGCTCAGTTGGAAGTTACAAAAATCATATTAGCACCAAGACTATATGGGTTCTGTGCTGTACCTGAATAGAGAGCTAGTCCCATCTTAACACCTGCAGCGCTATCAACAGCAAGAGAGCCACAGGCAAAGGTTTTAGTTCTTCGCTGCCATTAGCACCCTCTTTCCCCACATATTTCAGACTATAGTAGTTAGGGAACTCCTCTGATGCACCCGCACACTGAACCAGGGGTGCCTGGTAGGACGTGGGCCGTTTGTCGGGGCGGTCAGGGCTGGATCCATCCGTGGGCCTCTCACCGATGTACAGCAGGCTGCGCTCCTTGGGGTCGTGCTCTGTTCTGAAGAGCTCATACTCCATGTGGGGCAGCCTGATGCCCAAAGCCAAGCAGCCGTTGGTTGGCGTTATATCCTGCTCCACGCCAGCACTCCAGGAGCTCGCCAGCCCGCAGCTCCCCGGTTCGGAGGAGTTCAGCATCATCACCGTCACCTGATCCATGGGCGTCACCCGTGCTTGTGTGACTTTGAAAGCCAGCTCCATGCCCCCTTTCACCTTGGAGGAGGGGACGCCCTGGGTGTAACGCCCAGATGCGTAAATGGTGAAAGTGGGCTGCTTGCAGAGCGGGTCGGAGTAGTGGTAGTAGTAGCCCTGCCAGGTGTGGTTGCTGCCGTGGAAGATGAAGTACCGAGTGAGGAAGAGCACGGCAGGGCGCACCTCGCAGCGGGTGCTCACCCAGCTGCCGCTCAGCTGCACCGGCAGCTCGACCTGGGCAGGCAGGATGGGCGGGTGGTGCTCGTCAGCTCTGTAGATGGCCCCACAGGCCGGGCAGGGATGCGTGTGGTGCTGCAGGAGACAGAAAATTTTCATGTCAACCAATATGACCTAAAAAACCCTTCTCACAATAGTTAAAAATCCCACACTCCCACACCAGCACGTTCGACTGCAACAAACTTAATCCCAATAGGTTAAGTGTGACGAAGAGCCCTGCGCCATTCTGAGCTGAGGCTTCGCACGCAGCAGTGGAGCTGGACAAGGCCAAGAGCTGCTGCAGAGTGCAGCCCTATGCCTCTGCTGTCCTTTGTCAAATGCCAGAGGGTTTGGGGGCGGCCTGGAACACCTTCTGGCACTCTGTGCATCACAACTGCTTTACTTTTCATTAAGCAGGGTTGGAACGTTGTATCGTTTTCCAGAACACGAGCTAATCTTTGCTGAACCACGGCATGCAGCAAGGCTAAATAACTCAGTAGTTAACTGGAGAGGGGGTAATTTACATGCGAGTTGATTGGAGCCTACTGTAATTTAGTCATTTTCAGTTTGTTTTACTGCTACTGTCACATTAATGAGTGCTGACAGTACACAGTACATTATGGCTAAATAATCCCAGAAGTTGGCAAATGTATCTGCTCTCCTTAGACAGGAAATTCTTTGATAATGAAAGGTAATTTGGGGAGAATGGGTTTCTTTAAAAGCGGTATAAATTTAAGGGAAAAAAGAGTGATATTTTCATCAAGAGGGTTAAAAAATAATTCCTAGCATAGCTCTGCTGCTCTCACAGCACAGTCAAAGGAATATGAGTCCAGTGACAAAAAAAAGAAAAAAGAAAAAAAAAAAGGCTATGCCCAATGAACTGATCACTATGGACACGAAAACTGTCGGACTCCCTCAGCCTTCTCACTGCCATGTGAAGAATTCTTAATGTATGGCAGCTTCTAATGACCGCCAAGTGGTGACATCATGCGCGGGTGCATTGGAGAGCTGTGAGCTGATTAATTACAGTGCTGTACTCAGAGAGTGGATTTCAGTATCTTTAAGTTTGGGTTTAAATTAACTTTTAGAAGTGTTTATATTTACCATCTGGTTTTGCTCATATATATGGGTTTGGCCCAAGATAACACAGTTTTAACCAATTTGGGAAGGTTACTTTGGAGGAGTTGGGGGTGCTGCTCTGTGGTTTTCTTTTTCCAAGCTCAGCTGCTGTCATCTGGGGCATGGGGAAATGCTGCCCCCCACAATCTGCACCCAGAAGAATTTTTTTTTTTTTTTAACTCAGTTCCATCTGGCAAAATGCAGAGAGGTTTCCCCCTCATCTCACTGCTCAGTCATTTCTGAATGGATCAGACATGGTTCAGATGAAAATGTGCTTTCCTGGAGATAAAGCAACCTGCTGCAACATATGAAACAAAACAAGAAGCAAGCAGGCTCCTGTTCAGCTCTATTTCTGTCACAGAGAACGCTTGGTTTCAGTGTAATAGCATTTCTCAGAGCAACTTCCTCCTCTAATGGCATTACACAGAGCAGTAACAGTTTAATGGTGGACGTTGGCTTCCTTGCTCCTCTGAAACTGAAGAACATAACAGAGAGGGATGAGAGGCAAACAGCAGAGTGGGCAGCAACGTGCGGCCCGAAGCCTTCACTGCTTGTGGAGCAGGAAACCAGGAAATTGCATTTCCGAGGAGAACACAGAGCCAAAGAAAAGCCATTAACTGCATCCCCATGCCAAGGCAGCCTTCTTGTGCTCGCTGAGCGCTCGCCCATCCCACTCCAGCAATCAGGAAGGGATGGGGGAACCTACATCTCCTCCTGGGGTCTGTGGGGCTCAACGTGCAGGCAGTCGGTACTTTAACAGCACAAAACCAAGGAGTGCTTTGCGAAGCCTACAGGCCGGCCACCCGCACTTACCACAGCGCTCTGCAGCGGACGCTGGTAGCCCGTCGGGCGGTAGTGCAGCCGCTCCAGCCAGTCCGTATGGATGTCTCCCAGGTACAGCTCCTCCACCAGGCTGCTGCCGCTCTGCTGCGGCCCTGGCAGGGGCTGGTGGTGCGTCTCCACCCGCACCAGGCTCAGCTCGTGCATGGCGAAGCCCAGGGCCGCAGTGCAGTCACGCTCGGTTTTGGCGCTCAGCAGTTCGTACAGGGCTCCGGGCGCCCAGGCACGGCCCGGGGGCAGGAAACCACTGCAGCCCTCACCCGAGCTTTGGTTGATGCGGGAGGCCACCTCCCGCATGGCCTTCTGGCTGTGGAAAACGATGCCCACCTTGTGCAGGTGGTAGTCAGCCTCGGTGGCCCCGCGGGTGATCCAGGAGGCCTGGCGCAGCCGCAGCTTGCCCTTGATGACCAGCGAGTAGGAGGGCTCACGGCAGGACGGGTCCCAGTAGTAGAACTGGAAGGCCTTGAAGAGGCGGTTGGCGTAGAAAAGGTAGGAGCGGGTGAGGAACTCTGGTCCTGGCCGCACCTCACACCTGGGGACAGAGGCGGTGCTGAGCCACCGGTACGGCAATGGGTGCTTGGGGAGCGGGGCTGGGGTAATGTGGTGATGTGGGGCACGGGGGGAGAGGGGCGGGCACGGTGCCACGGGCAGATTTCGAGGTCTTCTTTAAGAGCCATTGCCAAAACGCGACGGTGCGGTGGCGGTCACTGGGTGTGACGTGATGCTTTGTGCCCACCGGGAAAATGGGATGGAGGGGCTCTGGAGCCCACTCTGCCCTGCAGCCCATGGAGGAGGGAGGCTGAGGGGTCGGGTTGGGGTGGGCTGGGGTTCCAGCTGCCCGCGGGGTCTTACCCGGTGGAGACCCAATGGCCCTCCAGGCGGGGCGGGAGCCGCGCCTCGATCCTGGCGCCGTCCTGCAGGTGGCGGAGCTGCTGCCGGCACCGCGGCTCCCAGCGCAGCGAGCGCTCCGCGACCGCGTACACTGCGGGGAGAGGGTGGGGAGATGGTCAGTACACACACACACACACACATACACACACACACACACACACATATACACACACGCACGCACGCACCGCGGGGCTCCACGCAGACCCCCGCAGTTGCCGACTCCCAGCTCCAGTGCCTGAAGCCATCGCTCGGTCCGTCAGCGCAGCGGCCGTCCTTTGTTCCCATTCTCTCCGAAGCCGCTGCGGCAGCACCGACCGATGCGGGAATTACGGCATGGGAACGGCGGCCCGCCTGTCGCCCGCCGTAAGGACAGCACTTCTGTCACTTACCTCATTTCCCACAACGGCGGATGTTATTGGCTATGGGAATGTGTGAGCACGCGGTTACATGTTGCAGACCTTTGCCTGCACGCACATAAATGCAAGTTCCCGTGTTATTCACTCTTAGGCAAACTCCCGCTGCCCTCCTGGTGAATTTGTCTCAGGAAGGAAGGTGGGATTTGCCTCTTTGAAACGAGGGCCCAGCGAAGCTGCCACATCCCCACATCCCTTCCTGCCCCATTCGTGCCCATCCTGCAGCCTGGCCGGCCGTGGAACTTCAGGCTTCTGATGCACAAATTCAGAGTCGCTTCTCTACAGAGCGAAGGTTTTACACATCGCAGGAACGGCGACTCAAAATGTGTGCAGATGTTAACACACAGACCCTGGAACGACCACAGGGAATAAGCACACGGCACACAGAGCCCCAGCTGAGCAGGGGAGCGTTAACAAGCGGCCGACCTACCCAAAGGCACTGAAAGCACTGCGGATGTTCTGTTACCTCACCGCGCGCTGCAGTGCAGGAACTGGCTGGAAAGATGCTTTATTGGTGCTGAGGGGTCTTCCTGGAGCAGACTCGCAATTGTTCTGTTTTAATCATCTGTAAAGGGCCTGACAGGGAGAGCAGGGATAGCCTGCTCCTTCTCAATTGTTTGCATTGCATTGTGCTTCCTAAAAATCAGTTCCTGCGAGCCCTCGCGTGAAAAGACAAAGCTGAACAACAAAACTCTGGCTACTGGTTAAGATTGCAGCCTGGTACCACTCTGGTACCAGGTGGCACTGTTTGGTTCTGCTCTCTCACCCACTGCTGCCAGAGCTCTGCTCTGAGGAGCCCCACTCCTCCTGCTTTCTCACTCAGCTGCAGAATAGCCAAGCTCCAGCTGCCCATCCCAGCACCAGGCCTAACTACTGGCAAAGCTTTTGGAGATCTTTCAGCTAAAGGACAGTCCGGACTGAATTCCACTTAAAACATATCAAATAATTATCTTAGAGAAAACTGTAAACTACACAAATAGCTGTATTTGGGTTAGAGGTAACAGATCATATGGGCCAAATTTGCTCCTGCTTACAACCACAGAAGGGCTCTGGAGGTGTTAGTGCAGTCTATAGTTATACCGAAATAACAGCAGTGAATACAGCCCTGTGCTGAACTTGCTAACTGCTGTGTGTGTGTTTATTGCGGCAGAAGCCTCAGTGTTTGACTGAACCCTTATTGCTGCTTTTGGCAGAGACACGAAAAGTCTGCATTATTTGAGAGCACAGACACTGTGGCAACATGATCACAAGATTTTGACACATTCAATAGGAAAGGGAATTTTTATAATCAGGATCAAACTCCATGGGGGGAAAAAAAAAAGAGTGAGAGAGAAAAAGTAAAAATAAAAAACCTCCAGAATGTAAATATTTGACATGATGGGAATTCCTTGGGATTTTATCTTACTTAACTGTACACAAGACTCCAAGCTGTATGCATCCTCAAACCAAAAGCTACTGGATTGTATCCAAATTTTGTGGCTGCTTTTCTCTCTCAAGTACTCCAGCTCAGCCCCACCAGATCCAAACAGTGTTTCAACTTGGAAAAGTTCAATTCCAGACCTCAAATCTGTAGTTAGGGCACATTTTGATTCCAAGAGCAGCATAAAGTGGCTGTCACTCATGTGTCACTCCTGTCACTTATGTGTCACTCATGTGTCACTCTGTTACTCAGCCCCTGGGGACGCACATCAGAGCAGCTCCTCTCTCCATCTTGAGAGAGACACAAGCTGACTGCTTCCTAGAGTTCTTGGGCAAGGGGGGGGGAGGAATTAATGACAATTCATCTTCAAGACAAAAATACTCATTCATAGGAAAATCTAAAAAAAATCTCCAACTGTGATCTCTTCCACCCTCTCGTTATCCTGTCTGTCTGTATTGATTAACCACAAGCGTTTCCAGAGAGCTCCTCAGTGCAGCAGCTAGACAAAACAGGATCTTTTTCCAGCTTTCTGGTGCGTGCTGCATCCAAAGCACTGGCCCAAGGTCTCCAGGCAAGAGGGCTGCACAAGTACTCAGGCAATTAGGAATGCCAAGCTGATCCCTGGAACCAGCAGAAACTGGACCAAGTCTTGAGACAACTGCAGTAGCAAATACTAATCAACTATTCCATACTCTCATTTGTATAAGCAACTTAAAAAAAAAAAAAAAAAATCAGACCCACAGCATCAAATGATAGAAAGACAGAACTGGAAATTCCTACGCAAAGTAAATTCTTGGTAAAATTAGGACGAAAGATTCCTAGGCAATGGCCAAGCCTGAAATGAGAACCTGCCACAGGAGCTGTGCTACAGAAGTACTCTTTGCTGCAGATTCAGATCCATTTCTCCATTTTGAAGGGAAAAAAATACCATCCAGGAGAGAAATACTGCAATATGCTCTGTTGGAAACAAACCTTGTTTGTGTTTCTCCATGCAGATTGACTTTGGAAAAAAGCAAAGTTGAGTCACACATCTGTTCCTTTATAAATGGAGGAGAAAATGCATACATTAGAGTTTGCACCAAATTAGTTACTGAAGATGAACTCTTCTCCAGAGCTAGATTGCTTAATCTGTGATGTTATTGCCTCCTATGGCCAGAATTTAATATTTCCAGTTATAAATCTAATGTTTCAGTTAGTCACCCATTCACAGGAATAAGATCAGTGCCTGAAGTCATGGAGAATTTCACATTTCTTCATTTAGAGATGACCTAAAACCTTTGATATTTTCTGAGGAATGTTCAGACTGGAATGAAATGAGTGATAAGAAACTTATCAATATATTCTGCTTAAGTAAATTGTACTTATCCACACAGACTTCATTAACAGAGCAAAACAGTGTTTCCTTTGCATTTTTCTCTCCTGAGAGCACGCAGAATGGATTTTGGGATAGCCACTAAAGGAATAAGCATTCTTCAAAAGCAAAGATGTCTGTATTGAGCAAATCAATTTCTTTTGCATTTGTGTGGAGATTAAGTCAGCGGTGCTTTTTATTCACTCAGAATAAGGCATTCCCAAGAGAACAACTCTGTGGGAAGAGATATATTTTATTTTATGATATTATGAAGTTATAAAACTTAAATATAACCCACTGGGGGTGGAACAGTGTATCACTGCACAACTTTGCATTTTGCTTACATTCAAACTGAACCCAGTTTTGGACAGGACTTAAGCACATGCTTAGGTCTAATTGGTTTCAGTGAAACTTAAGCATGAGCTCTAAATTAAGCCAGTTCATGAGCATTTTTCCTGATTAGTAATGCCTCCCTGAATTGAAGCCAGAATGTGGTCAAGTGGTTGAGGGACGATGCCAGTGCTTTCACTGGAGTCCTGTTTGGCTTCTGGAAAAGTATTTCTATTATTCAACCCTTATTTTTCAGTAAAATGGGCATATATAGAGCTGTTTCACTAGACTGATGCTCAGCCTGTGCTACTTGCAAAATGCTTTGAATTCACCAGATGTTTCTTTGTGTTCTTTGAAGAGTGGCACAATAAACATATTGGATATGTTAGCTATCACTGCAGAGCATCCCCTTGTGCAGTACAGAGCACGACCACATACAACATTCTGCAGATCCTAAGAGGGAACTCAACTCACTCAAAAGTCCCAAGCAACTCAGGGTTTTGGAGAAGAACTTTTTGAAACATAAATTCACCACATAACTTTAAGCATACTGGAAAACAAGTTCAGACTCTTTACCCTGTCTTCTGTGGCTGTGATCATTGTCTGATTTGTCTCACATCCACAATTAAAATAGTGGAGCACTTGTGGTGAGCTGTCTAGAGGTTTTTAAGGGACTAGAGAAGTAAATATTTTGCTCTTGGAATCATGGAACCATTTATTTCTCCTGTAAGTGTCATGTCCAGGGGTAGAGGACAAGACAAATGGAATTTGTAGGAGGGAAAGGGAGAAGGGAGAAGATATTCTCTCCTGCATGTCAAAGATCTTCTTCAGTATAAACTGTATTTAAATAAAAAGGCTCTTAAAACTGCTCTCTCTGGCTGTTTACGCTGAAGAAAACCAGACCTGACACTGTAAATAGGATTGCAGGGCTCGATCCCACTTTCATTGGAGTCATAAATAGGAAAGATCCCATGACTGTAACAACACAGCATCAGGACCTTATTCAGAAAGTGCCCTTCCCCACAAACCGGCACGAATACTCTGCTGAAAGAATACAGGAATGCAAAGGAGAAATGGGGTATGACACGTCCTCTCCCCAGATGGAGCAAACAAAGCAGGGCGCACTGCAGCTGGCATAGAGGCCTTTGGCAGCACGAGAAATAAAAGCTCTGGCGGCAGATGCGAGTGCAGATTCCCAAGAGATCTCCTACAGCTACTGTCGATCACGATGCCACGCTTTTCAGTTCCACAGAGCCCTTCCTGCCCTGCGCTCGCTGCCATAACAGGCACAGGCCCCGCCACCCCACGCCACTTCTCCCTCCTTCCTCCCACCGCTCAGATGGCATCAGGCAGCCTCAGGAAGAGGAGACCTGTGCTCTTCCTCCCCTAGACCAGCCAGTGTCAAAAGACTTAGTCAAAAACAGCTGAGCAGCACCACATGGCCCCCACAGGCAGCAGCGGCCTGCATGCAGCCGGGAGCCTGCCTGCTGCCAGCACTGCGCCAACCTGAGCCGCAGGAACCAGAGGGTTAATGAGCAGAGGTGTGAACTAATGGGATAACTGCTACGTGCCTTCTCTTTTGGCTTTGGTAAGTCACCAAAA